ATGATGTTCTCCTTTTCAATTTTTCTTCCACTAAACCTTTGTGCTTTTTTGCGGCTTGATGAATGCTTGATGTAATACAATCATACTCTTCATTTTGAGTTTTTGCCTGAACGTGCATTGAGTTTTTCGTTAAGTCGTTTTTTATATATGGTTTTCACAATTGTATCTATGTGATCAATTTCTTCTGTCTCTGCGTCCTCCAGCTGTTGTTGGTGAAGGGTTTGGCCTTGACAAGGAAAGAGAGTTTCGGCTTATGGAAAATAGTGATCACTTCCGCATGTTGGTCCGCGTTTTATCCAGACGTCGTGGTTTTTAGTTTTGTCTTTTGTTTAGTAATAAGACAGTCAATTACTGATTTGAGATTTTGCGTATTTTCTTGTGTTGGAAAAAGCCATTTTAAATTTTTATCCCTTGTCAATAACAATATCTTCTCCGAATCGGCCCACTGTCAGATCAATTAACTTTTTACCTGTTCAGCTGTTTATATCTGCTGAATGCTGAATGTTGATATTTCGTTGTAAATTTGTTCGAAGAATTTGTCTTTTTCGGTTACGTTGGCGTCGTCGTTTATTGCATATATTCCGAAAATCGTCAGTCTAACTCTTTTAATTATTTTTAATTTTATTTTTGAATTTAATATTATTTGATTAATTATTTCATCCGTTCGTTTATAGCTTCCCAGTTGATAACACATTTTTTTAAAACATTTGTTGACCAAAATGGATACTTCTTATTATGCATGTTCTTCCTTTGAAACTTCGTTATAGAAATTGACCTATTGTCCGAGGTTTTCAGATTCTTTCCCTTTTTTCTTTATTTTCCATTTTTTCTTTATTTCTGATAGTACCGCGAGGTCTAGCCTCACTCTACTGGTTTCGAGAACTATTTTGTTAATTTTTCGTTGCTTGTAGTTACGACGCTGGAATTGTCAAAGGATAAGGAAAGAAAACTCCTATCAAAAACTGCCTGGTCCTCCAGGTTGAGGTTTGGGACATCAGACTAACTCTCTGGTACTCGGAAGAAACATAATGTCAAAAAACCCAATCAAACGCGTCGGAATGGAAAGGAAAACCCAAGTCCAATATGATATCCTAAAATGTTGGTACAAAAAAAACATTTTGCACTACTCTCATCATGCACTTTATCACATATATTGAAGCAAAGTGCTCGAATCTTACTTGTTGCTCACTTACTGTTGCATTTAATTGGAATCATCGATTTCTTAAACAAAATGGGACAATCGAAAACAGTTAAAAGCTTTATTCGCGGCAACGGTTCAGAACTGATTCGGAACTGGTAGAGCCATTCGGGGACAGATCGGATGCGCGTAGAGGCGATCCAGAGCTTGCGTTGTGTAAAGGAAAGTTCCATGTTCGCGGTACAGTAAGATCTGGTTCAGAACTCGTTCGTTACCGGTTCTAGCAGTTTTAGGATTAAAGGAAGAATCAGTTTTTCTGATAAGCGCAGAACAAACAAAACATAGGGTTCGCATGGGTATCGGGACAAACTCTCGGCATCATTATTTTTTTAATTTGTTAGGAGAGACTGGACACTTTTGTTTGTGGGCCAATTTTTGGTCGGCTGGTGGTACAATGGGTGCACGAGCATTGCATTCCATTTCCTAATTCAAATTTATGGCTTTATTTGCCTATTCAGCCTGAGAGTTAAAATGTTAGAGACTGCAGATGTCATTTGAAAAAAAAATTCATCAAAATCTTATTCGAATTAACCAAAAACTACCACTTTTCCCCGCAGATCAAAAGGAAAAACATCAAATCCCTCTTTCGAACTCCTGGCCAATTTCACCCGCGGTCTGACAAAGTCGCAACGCCGTCATCATTTAAAAAAAATTAAACTGAACTTGCGCATAAAACTAAATACTAGTTTTAAATTTTTCTATTTTCAACTATCGCTCCATTGGTCAAGCATTGAAGGTGATTGACTTCGATCGATTGATTTTGACGATTTGATAAGTGACTTTGCCAGAGAAAAATCAAGAATTTTTTTTTATTGTATAATAATTTGTAAATCACTTTTAAGTTTAAGAATTATTAAGATTTTTATGTTTGTATCTCAGTTAATTTACTAATTGACTATCAGAACGCCAATGTAAAAATAAACTTGGAATTGCCTATATATGTTAGCAATTATTTGCCTCAGGAAGAATGGAAACAAATCCATAAATTTGAATTCAGAAACTGGATGCAGACAAAAGGTCGTCGGTGGTACCAATTGCACCACCATCGACAAATATACAAAAAAGGGCAGGTGAAATGCAACAGGTGTAAAATCTTGCCTTTGTACAGTGGGTTTTTTGAAATTTATTAATTAAACGAGATAAAAAAAACCTCAGCAACTCTTTTTTATTCAAAATAATCAAAAACTTCTACTTTTCGCAGACAAGCCATTATCCTAAAAAACACTGCAAATCCGCCTTTCCACTTTCACTACATTGCATTTCAGTTTAGGGAAATTACTGTTAGGCGCAAAGTAACTGAAGTCCGGTTGGTACTACTGAAAGCTGGTTCTAAAAGCGTCCGCGGAACGAAGGGATGCAGAATCGGTTCTGAACAGGTCCTGAATGGAGCCTGCGCTCTAATTCGGTTCGTTATCGGTTCTGAACCGAGCCTGAGTCGCTATCGCGAATAAAGCTTTTAAAACCATAATTACTTTGATGATCATTGTGACCGTGTATTCGTATTTTATTTCTTACTCTTGAGTATTTTAATGTAACATTTCTAATATGGAGAAATGCAGAAATCGTGGAACAAATCAATTACCTAACTACTACGAAATTAAGCTAATGGAGGAGTTTGGTGACAATATTCACCCATTTTAATTGATTTTATCTATAGTTGAAGGTCCTGAAGATCTAAATATGGTGTTAAGTCAAACTTACGTAAAATCAATAAAATGTCGACAAAATTAACACCGCGAATTTTAAGCTGTTAAAAGAACCTGGAGTTGGAATTTTAAAAATTGGAAAATACCACATTTTCTGTTAATCTCGACATTAAAATGCAGTTTACTTTTGGAATGTGAGAATACATTGTCGAAACATTCTAACATTTAAAACTGTACGATTCAAAATTAAATTTAAATTCCCTTTTGGCCGAGGTAAATGAGCCATCGCGTAGGTCAACATTATTATAAATGAAACATAAAATTTAATAACCGATTTAAGACAAGCGTAAAAAGCAGTTACGTTTTCTGAACCTGATATTTTCGACAAACGTAAATAGAAACTAATATCGAGATATTAAGAATTTCACAAGAAGCAACATTTTTAGGACTCCCACTTTTATGGAAAGGCAAATAAGTTTCATCATTAAACCTATCATACCTCTTGTTCAAGGAAGGATTAAGTAACCTTCAAAATCCAGTAACCTCACGATAAAAAACGGAAGGATAGACAATTTCCAAGTAATTAATTATACAGTTTCATTGTTGTTAAAGAATAATTAATTTTGAAAGTTTGTCATCATGAAATGCAAACATGCCCACAAGCTGCACACAAAAAAGTTGCCTATGGAACATTCCAATCGCTTGGCAATCAACTTTTCTATGTAAATAATAGACCATAACATTTATTGTGAAGTGAAGGGACCAGTAAAACATGAAGAGTTATAGAGAAAATCTAAAGCAATGTTAGCTGGAATGGTAATGTACTTGATAAATACATAAAATCGGAATACAATTTTGAAAGCTGTTTAGCCTTGCTGGGAAGTACATTGCGAATTAAATAAGGTTACCAATGGCTAGAATTACGACAATGTTATCTACCAGACAGACATATGTTTCATATTTTTCTAATCAATCTTTCATATGATAATCGTATTCAACACATTAAGTTGTGACGTAAAGTTTCTTAACTATTACGGTAGGCAGATGGATATTTAATATGATTAAGACCATAAGAGATAAAATTGATTATAATGAAGGACAGGTTGCAGAATAATTGAAAACTGTTAGGCTTTGAAACCTTTGTAAAATGTCTTAAAATCCATTATATGTCTGGCGCGCAAAAACTTGTTTACCTCACTATACCGTTTCGAAATCGATTTCCAAGAGTAGTTCACCGAAATACCATAAAAGCCAACACTGACAAAACTGAAAAACCATGTTGTTGCAAAATTACTGTTCTCAAGTCTTTAGTCTGCATTTTTTATAAAAATTACTTTATTTCTTGGTTATTAATTATTTCAGTCGGTTTACTGCTGTTTCTAACGGTTTGATATATTTTTATTAAGAGCTGCGACGAGCGACATTTAGCAAAGCGGTATAACAAAAATAGCCGGAAAATCTGATTTTATTATATTAACACATTCAGTTATAACAGTTCCTCCAACGCAGTATTAGAGAAAAACATTATCTATCTAATATATTTAAAAATAATCTCCCTATTTAAAATCGATATTATAATGTTGTTCGAAAATTTACGTAATATTCTAGAATTACAATATTTCGCACCAATTAACCTATAGATTGGCGTATGGTTTCTAAATCTAGTATTATAATTTGAATGATTATTTAATTCCTCGAACAATCAAACTGTCTATAAGATCATTAGCGATCGTTCTGTCATTAATTAGTTCTACTTTTTGAGTCAAGACTTGAATGTGAAAGCTGCATTTCAAAAGACAATTAAACAAAGAAAATCATATCAATCGCAACTGGAAAGACAACATTATTGTAGGCACTGCAGTAAATAATAAGTCATATATTTCGCTGTAACCACGTAGTTGACATTTAATCCGTTAATAATAGTGAACCAAATTTCTCTTACATTTACTTCTGAGTATAAAAAGGTACGTTTTTGTTCTAGATGTATTCTAGTCTCAATCGGAATTTAATGCTGTTAATAATTGTTAAAAACTCAAACTTGTTTGTAGGTCACCTGTTTCTTGCGACTTATTTTCAACAATAACAATTAAACAACATAGGAATTGCATCGGCATTTAAAAAATTAAGGACAAACGCGTTACATCTAACATACATACCTATTTCGTCGACTTGTCTTGAATATCACGAAGAACTTACTCCAAAGAGAAAATGTGGCTTCTAGAACATATTTCACCAAATAAACTCCTTGTAAGGCACAGAATTAAAACACTTGTGTTATATAAAAAATGTCAGTCAATTTTAATCTAAAATATTAAAGTCTTTTTCTTTAGCCACGTACACGATGTAGAAGTAAGTCACAATGCTAAGAACGGCGGTAATTAGTATAAATTTAAAATAAAGAAGACAGAGGTCTCTAAATACCGAATCCAACTTGTATCGACTGGGATTCAATAAAGAGGGCTCCCTTCGTTAATAAAATTATTCACTGGAAAAATTCGAATGGGAGAAACCGTATACACCCCCTAGTAGTGTGTGTCGCAAAACTAACAAATTGTTATCAGAACTATATTTTTCTAGCTGCCGTCTGAATCCGGTGAAAAAGCACTAAAAATATGAACCATTTGATTCATTGATTAATAGTGTTACTTTTCGAATTTATTGTTTTTTTAGTTTCCCAACGATCGAAATTTTTCAGAGGATAGTATTTCAACGCACAGTATAATACGATGTTGCGCGCCGTACTTAGTCGATGTGACTTAACTATGGCTGGGTAAGTGGTACCCAATGCTATTGTGGTTTGGGTACCACGACAGGGCCGAATTGGGTGATTGTTTTTCTGGTTTCGTTATTATATTATTAGTAATTAATGTATTTTATATTGAAATGAATGCATGAAAACGAAATTGTTTTATCCTAGAGACAGTGCTTTAAAATTCGATTTATTTATTTTTCTATCTATACGGGTCGCTCTTCAACTAATTTAATAACTTCGATTTCCATTTGCGATGTTCCATACAAAGCAGATTAAACATATAATTGATGTTATTAGAACACTGGATTAAGAAAAATTATTAACATGAAACGCAAACATATTTATTTAGAGTTATTTTTTGTTTCATTTAGAAAGGTTGTACAGTTGAGTCCGGATATAACGAACTTGAGAAATGAACTAAAACTGGTTCGTTATATCCGGAGTTCGCTATAAGCGAATAATAATACAAGAACACGTGGTGTATTTTATTTCGTTATTTTTACATAGAGTAGTAGAAGTTATAGAAGTAGATATGACTAAAAAGAACACAAAAAGATAAACAAAATTCAATTTGAAATCTACTTCATAAAGTCTGTAAGTTTTGTTGGTACATTTCTGCTGCAAAAATAGATGTTATTTTGTAGTTTTCAAGATCACAAAATGACTCCCAGATATGATTAGGAACTTGGCGTGATTGTAGAAAATTCCGAGTTTCTGGCACGTTTCTTGTTATTTCAGAAATGGTTGGAACAGCATTAGTGTTTACAGTAGAAGCAGTTTCACCTAAATCGTCATCTTACTCATTATCGCTTAAAGCTGTAGATGAGGTTACGGAGTCTATAATTTGCTCATCGGTCAACATTTCTCTTGTAAGAATGCCATTAT